ATCCTTGCTGCCTCTGCCAAAAAGGGCAGAGGGAGGGGCAAAGAGGTGGTGGCCGAGCCATCTGGCGATACGACTGCGCCTGCGGATGGTGTCCCAGGTCCAAGTTCACCTGATGCGCCTGCCTCGGCTGCTCCACCAGCGACCTCTGCTTTGCCGACAGAGGCTCCCAACTCGGGCGTTGCTGCCCCGGCTACTGTCGATGGAGAGAAAGCAGTGCCACCAGCGTCTGCACCGGTGCCCCCAGCACCCTCTGAGCCAGCCGCAAATGTTAGGAAGGATAGTCCTGACGTCAGCATGTCAGAGGTTACTCCAGTCGCAGCCGTCGGTGACTCCAAGGAACCTGCGAAAGTCGATCAGCCCTGATCAGAAAGCAGAAGTTATCGGAACGCCGACAAGTGCTGCTCCTTCACAAGTTGACGCTTCGACCATCAAGCCTAGTACGGGTGATGGCGAGTAAGGAGTAGAGCGGCTGGGGCAACCGGGGCATTGTGCGGCATTCATATAGCAATGCATATCAATACTCAAAGAATCAACTAAAAGTCAATCATGGAAGACGCACATCTGAAAGTACAACGTCTATAGCTCCCATGTACACCAAAGAGTTCCACTGCCCGCAGCCTATGCCCACTGCCTATAATATGCCGCTGGTTGTGTGATCAAGCATCACCTTCACGGCCTCTTATGATCTGGTATCTGACCTCTGGGGCCTCTGGCCACTGAAGTCTGGACACATTTGGCCACGAGCTGCTGGCGGCAACGTTCCTATTTAGGGAGGGATGAAACGCGCTGCATGTTTTACTGACTTTTTCGACCCTCAGACCTCAAATTTCAGGCTGTCTCTTCGGCCTGAGAGGTGTGTTCTGGAGGCTCTTCGGGTCGGGAATTTCTGGCACGAATGCATGCAGGCTGCAGCAGTTTCAAGGCAGCCGAATAAGATATGGCATTTGCGAGCCATGCGAGCGCAGCTGCACTCACCCGGCATAAATTTCAGTCAACACGCGCCACATTGAGGCCACATTACGAACGCCTCTCATAGTTTAGCGTCATTTGAAGCGTAACCCTTGCTGAAACCTGCTGCCAGGCCCTGAGATGGGTACAATGACAGAGGCACAGGGAGAACGGAAGCAAATTAGCCAGGCCTGGAATAACGGCATGTCGCGTGGCGGTGTTGCTGTTTGTTCTTCTGCGCACCCGAAAAGTGGAGGTCGGCGAGTATCAGCTTTGCCTTCTTTTTGTCTTTTTTTCTCTTCTCTTGTCCCTCAACGTCCTTCTCAGCTTGCACATACCGGTTGGCTACCACCCACTGCTGCACGCACCCGACACTCTTTCGCAAAACCAGTATCCACCCATCATGGCTGCCGAAACCGGCAGGACCGATTATCTGGCAAGTCCCTCGTCTCCAGGCAGTTTGGCCGTACTGATCTCCCCGCCAGGGTCAGGCTATCCAGAGCGGACCTTCTATCAACCTTGTCTCCAAGAAGCAAGAGTCTCACCCAGAAGTGCAGGGTATCACCCGCAACTATCTCGGCTCAGACCCCAATTCGGGTCACCTCCGGTAAGTCGCGCCTCACTTCGCAGCCCAGATCTTCATCGCCTTGCACGCTCCACTTCTTGCATGCGTCAATCGACATGCCTCTGTATAAAAAAGTACCCCCTGCTGACCTGTACCACTTTAGTGACCAGTCAGTCCAGTCTATGCCTGAGAGCGAAGGCTATGGAATGAGCGAACTCCCTCACCAGACCTCGAGGAGCCCTCTCGCCCCTGCCGATGGTAAGTTTTGATTTTGATGGACACGCTTAGGGTCCTCCTTTGGTCGGTCCATCTACACCAAATTATCTATTGTTCTGCAAATGACGATCGCTGACTCCACCATGCACAGCTACCACTCCTGGTACCGGCAGCTCCACCCCCGGGCACGTCCACTACCCTCCCTCTTCCCAGATGTCGCGTGCCCAGCAGCCCGCCGGCGACGCGTACACCACAATCCCCCTCCAAGACGCCAGTGGCCCCGGCTCAGCCGCTACCACTCCCGGTGTCGGCTCTGCCAACAAGAAGAACCGATGGTCTTTCATGCCTAGCGGCCACGCTTCCAGCGTGAGCATTGACCAATCTGTCAACGAAAAAGCCCCCAAGCGCCCCAAGAACAACAGAAACACCAGCTGGGATCTCTTGGGTGACAAGAATGAGTGGGACGAGTACAAGACCAACAGCGCAAGCGTTGAGAACCTCAGATTTGCGGAGGGTGATGCGGGTACCAATAAGGTGTGTAGGATGTTGCGGCGCGAGGCACGACTGACAATACTTGCAGTTCTCGAGGCTTTATTACTGGGCTTTGAACAAGGGTATCGCCTTCCGATGGGCCATGTACATCATCCCAGTACTCATCTTGCTATGGGTTCCCGGAATTGTATACTACGCTGGTGTCGACTCGGCCAAGATCTGGGCCGTTACTCTTGTAAGCACCGCCTTACGTATTTCGAATTTTTCTGACAGTCGCCTAGAACTGGTGGTCTATTTGGCTTACTATCGTCTGGCTCACCTTCTGGGCCTCCAGCGCCACCTGGATGATGGTCCCCACCATCTGGAAGAACACCATTGCTTCTATCATCCCCTCAGCCAAGGCTTTGACCGAAGTCATTGCTGCTCTCGGCAAATACGCCAAGCTAATCTTCTGGACTCTTGCCATGTGGATCTCCTTCACTCCCTTGATTGTCAACCATTACAGTGGCAGCGATGAGAGTAGTTCCAAGAGCAACTTGACCACTATCGCCAACCTCCTCTTCGGTCTCTTCTTGTGCTCTATCGTTTACGCGGGCGAGAAGCTCATCGTTCAACTCATTGCCTTCCAGTTCCACCGTGACTCTTACGAGGACCGACTGAACGAGCAAAAGTTCAACATCAAGGCTCTCACCTACCTCTACACCAACTCCCACGACATCCCTGGTCGTAGCGATACCTTGATTGACTCTGCGTCCACAAAGACCAAGGGGGCTCAAGTCCCCAAGATCGCTTTGAGGAAGGCTCTCAGAGGCTTGAGGGATGTTGCGCAGACCACTTCTACTGCTCTCGGAAACGTCGCTAGTGAAATGACTGGCCAGAGTGTCTTGCAGACCAACTCTCCTGCCAACAAGGTCACTGCTGCCCTCGGTTCTGCCAACAAGTCCAAGGCTGTGAGTGTTTCTATAGTCCGTCCGTGATGCCTATGACTGACCCTGGGGTAGCTCGCCCGACGACTGTTCTACTCTTTCAGGGCCCCCGGCGCCGCCCACCTTGATATCCAGGACATTGTGCAATAGTACGCCTTCTTGCGCTCTCAGGTGCCTCCACTGACATCTGGTACAGCTTCCCCAACCTTGAGACTGCCCAGAACGCTTTCTCCATGTTCGACAAGGATGGCAACGGCGATGCTACCCGAGACGAGATTGAAGCTGCCGTCCTCGGTATCCACCGTGAGCGTCTCGCCCTCGAGGCCTCCATGCGCGACCTCGATGGTGCTGTGCGCCGACTCGATGACATCTTCATGGTCATTGTCTTCCTCATTGCTATCCTTATCATGGCCTCCATGATCACCACCAAGCTCACTACCCTCGTCACCTCTGCCAGTACCTTCATCCTCGGTCTTTCTTGGTTGATTGGTACGACCATGCAGGAGATCCTTGGTGCTTGTATCTTCTTGTTTGTCAAGCACCCCTTCGATGTGGGAGACCGAGTCGACATCGAGTAAGAGCTTTTGAACTTGTCGGCGACACCGGCTGATATCGTTGTAGCGGCGTCCAGTACACTGTTGCTAAGATGCAGCTCCTCTCTTCCTCTTTCAAGAGGATCGACGGCAAGTACGTTTGGATCGGTCACAACGTCCTTACTACCAAGATCATCGAGAACAGTGAGTTTTCAGTCGCTCCACACGTGCATCGGCTGACATTTTCCAGTCCGACGATCTGGCGCCATCTCTGAAGAGTTTTCCTTCGATGTCGATTTTGCCACCTCTTTCGAAGCTCTCCAGGCTCTCCGAGCTCGTATGCTCAAGTTCCTCAAGGAGAACTCTCGAGACTTCCTTCCCGTATTCGACGTCACTGTCGACGACATGCCTGCCCAAGGCAAGCTCGTCCTCAAGGCCGACATTAGGTACAAGTCCAACTGGCAACAGGTCGCTCTCAAGGTGCAAAGGAGGAACAAGTGGGTTTGCGCTTTGAAGATGGCCCTTGCCGATCTCCAAGTCTGGGGTCCTGATGGCGCTGGTAACCCTTCACCCGAAGCTGCGGCTGTCGAGCCCGTCCAGTACACCTGTAAGTTTTGACATCCATACCTGTCCTAGCCTGAGCTGACTTCGACTTGCAGTGGTCCCCTGGGAGGATGTAAAGGCCAAGGACGCCGCTGCCCCCACCCCTGCTCCTGTTGCTGCTGCCCCTCCCGCTCCTCCCAACCTCATGGACCCTCGTGCCGCTGTCAACGACCCCTACGGTGACATCTGGAACGAGGGTGAGGATCTACATGGATTCGAATCGGCTGGCCCCTCTCGACCTGCTACGCCCGGCGCTATGCAGTCCTACAGTGGCCGACCTGCTCAGCCTCAACGCCTGGACTCGCTCCAGAAGGGCCCAGTGGACGTCGATGCCAAGAGGCAGGTTTAGATGGGCTCTCGTCGTGTAAGGACTTTGGTCAAGACGCATTGATTATTGCGTAATTAGTTCATACTCTTTCTCTCTCCTCTCATACGATCTTGATGATCTTTGATCTCGATTGAATCTCTCTTTTTCTTGGTTTGGAAGTAGGTGCATAGAATAGATTTGTCTTACTTCAAAGATACCTGCCTACTTCCGAGATACGTACATGATGCGACGACGATGACGCTCACTGCTTTCACGATGCTTTGTACGATGCACCCATTGCACAACGTTCTCAAAGGCCAGCGGTGAACTCCACCACCACGTGGGATTTTTTGAGAGCGCATGGGAGGCGAGGTATCCTTTTATTGTTCGGCCTTTGAACTCGTTCTTCTGCCTCACCACCCGCTCTACACTCGCTGCGAAGCCTGTATCCCTCCTCTTACCGCCACTGCCCTCTTTGGACCTCAGGTCACCGCTACCAAGATCAACTCACTAGCCCTATCCGCCGCTTGCTACTACGATCACACCGGTCCGCCGAATCATAAAACGCACCAAGAGGGATACTGTGAGTGGGCTCTCTTTGACCGTGGATGAGCCCTTGGGGGCGATGAAGAATGCGAAGGGAGCAGGGTGGCGCGGTGCGGTGGCACATGGTGCTTACATCGGCCGCGCGCCACTCTCAAAAACCGAAGCGAGGCTGACCTGTTTTTTCTCAATCTAACTTCCATCTCCAACCATTGCTCTACACCACAGTCGCAGAAAGAGTTCATGCCTTCACGCACGCAAAAACCAAATTACCGATATCACCATCCCACCAAAGAATTGGATTTTCATACCCGTTAAACTACAACTGTGAGTCCATCTCGTTCCTGTCCACGACGCGTCCTAATGTCGTGGGTGTGGCTGACAATCTGATTTTGCAGAAAAAGCTGACAAGATGGCCACCGTTAACATTCGACGAGATGTCGAGGACAAGTTCTACGTACGTCAACGACAAGTTTCGCAGAGTATACATGGCTAATCAGAAATATCACAGCGTTACAAGATGCCCCTTCTCCAGATCAAGATTGAGGGCCGAGGAAACGGTATCAAGACTGTCATTCCCAACATGGAAGACATTGCCCGCGCTTTGAACCGTCCCCCCAACTATCCCACCAAGTTCTTCGGTTTCGAGCTCGGTGCCCAGACTACCATGGCCAACGACCGCTACATCGTCAACGGTGCGCACACTGCCGACCGTCTTCGAGAGCTCCTCGACTCGTTCATCGTCAAGTACGTTCTCTGCCCCTCGTGCAAGAACCCCGAGACCGAGATATTTGTCACTGGAAAGTCTGGCCACGAGTCGATGCACCGAGACTGCAAGGCCTGTGGTGCCCAGACTCCCATGGAGATGCGCCACAAGTTGTCCGCCTTCATCGTCAAGAACCCTCCCAAGAAGAGCGGCAAGAAGGGCAAGAAGGCCGGTATGACTGCTCAAGCCAACGTTGGTGGTCCCATGGTCTTTGACAAGGCTGCCGAAGAGGACGGAAGCGACGACGAAGCTGGCTCGCCTGACGGCAATGGCGTCCCTACCAAGGGCACCGAGATTGATGCTGTTCTCGGCCGTGCCGATCCCATCCTCGAAAACCCCGACGCTGCCGAGGAAGTGTCCAAGAAGCTCAACAAGCTCGACGTCGATGACGACGAGGACGAGGACGCCGACTCTCCTTACTCTCAGCTTGGCGCCTGGCTCGAGGAGAACAAGACTGCCGACGATGCTGCCATCATTGGTCAGATCAAGGAGCTTGGGATCGTCGGCAAGCACAAGGTGTTGGTCGAGATCGGTCACCACCTCTTTACCGATGATGTCGGTACTGAAGTTGGCAAGCGTGAGCAGCTTCTCCAAGCTGTAAGTCTGATCTCATGATGTGTATCATATGCTCATCTCTGTGTAGCTTGTAACTTCCGAGAAGCACCAAAAGTCCTTCCTTGGTGGCCTTGAGCGTCTCATCGGCAACTCTCCCAACCTCGACTCTCTCCTTGCGGCTGGTGTCACCTCCAAGGTCCTCATGGCGCTTTACCAATCCGACATCTTGGATGAAGAGGTCGTCAAGTCCTGGGGCACCCATGTCAGCAAGAAGTATGTTGACAAGGAGAAGAGCAAGAAGGTCCGAAAGAATGCGGACGCTTTCCTCAAGGTATGTTCATTGTCGAGTGTATGTGTGATGGCGCTGACGGTGTGATTGTAGTGGCTCGACGAGGCTGAGGAGTCCGACAGTGATGAGGAGTAGGACGCAATGCGCGCATAGCTTGTTGACACCGTTTGCCAGAAATTAGTTGATTGAATGTAAACCACTATCCGAATCAAGTCGCACATGTCTACTACAATACATGTCTTACAGGGTGCTCCAGCACAGTACAAGTACAAGTGACCTATTGACACATACAGCTCCTAGTACATGGTACTCGTACAAGGTCTGAAACTTTGTGAACCAACTCTACTGATGTATAGCCTCAATAAACCTCCCCCACCTCTCTACGCACTCCTCAACAATGTAATAATTACTCTTCGACTCTTGCTTCAACAACGGGAAGATCTCTTTGTGCCCCGAATTGCAATCCGCACATTTCAGCCTAACCCTATCAAACGCCTCCTTACTCGCCTCTTCCAGCGCACATCGCTCGGCCAGCTCGATATGCACGAGCCGCTCCCATCGCTTCATAGCAGGAAGAGGTGGGATGACGTGTGTGGTGGCGCCTTGGAGAAAGGATGTGATCAGGTTCTGGGATCGATCGGAGGCTGAAGGATTGGGGCGGGTGGAGGTGTTTGGGCGTGGAAAGATGTCGAGGAGACTTGGGGTTTTGGACTGGCATTCTATCGTATCATAAGCTTGGGTCTGGCACCAATGACGCTGAACGTACGGTGGGTCCATTGCCCAATTCTCCGTGGTACATTATCAGTTCGACCGCACTTGTAGAACGATATTTTGTCGGTCTCTAGGTCTGCGACTGTTGTCAGCATAGAATTCAAGTACCGAGTATATGGAGCTCACCTCTGAGCTCGTAGACGTAGAGATATCCAGGCGCTTCCTATTGACAGCATATATCAGACATGGCTGTGACTCGGCCGTCCGTGTAAGCTTACCTTGGGAGTCAGTTTACTCTCCATGACCATTCTGATCAGAGTCTGAGTCTGCTCGCTGAGATCGGGAAGGACGTAATCTGTTTCTTCGTTCAGCAAGACCTTATTACACAAACGCAAGCGTCATACCTTCAAAATCTACCCAAACCTTGCTCGCATGTTCCCCTTCCCCATTCCTCCAGTAAAACCCCTTCTCCTTACAAATCATCCCCGCATGATCTTTACAATACCTCCCCATAACCCTCTCACTCCTGACATCACCATCATCATCATTCTCCCTCCCTGGCGTGGCAATGTACGGTGCATGTGCGCGGACGATACGCTTGCACGGCGCTCCCGTACGCGTAAATCCAGAACATTGCACACCCACTTTACTTGGTGTAAGCGGTTTCTTGGGAGAAGAGGCAAGGCCGGAAGCGTTGGCAGCGGATTTACTTGGTGATTTGCGTCTCGCAGGGGAAGCGGCAGGGGAGGGAGAAGTAAGGAATGAGCTCCGGATATCGGAGTGCGCTCTGTACCTACTCGGAGATGACCCTTTGGGGCCTCTTCGAGCCGAGGCGGAGGGGGAGGAAGGAGATTCTGGGGAAGAGACTGTGAGGTCGATGACGGGAGTGTACTCTCCATCTGGATCGGATTTGGCTCGGCGGTGGTTGGATCTGACTGGGTTCTGCTGGACCTTTCGGTTCGGAGTAGAACGACTAGGCTGTGCAGGCTGAAAGTTCTCTTTGCCTCTGGGAGAGATTCTCCGTTCTGGCCGAGCTGCAGTAATCTGAGGGTCTGATTGAGGTCTCCCGGGAGAGAGGCCGTTCCTCAGATCAGGAGCAGCCACGTGTTGGGAGGGAGAGTACCATTGAGGGGATGGCCTATCAGGGTTTGCGTAAGGAAGCATGTACTGAGGCAGCGATGTCGGTCTTGGAGGTAATGGAGGGGGTGGCGGCGGTCCGTATATTACCGCACCGCCAGTCGAAGACGCGCCACCCATGTGCTGCCGGCGACTAGGAGAAGCACGACTTCCTGAAGGCGAAAAGCTCTCTAGAGGTCTGCTCTGTGCTCCTGATGGTAGCGGCGGGAGCGTTTTGTTCGTGTTGGGCGAGATGGGAGACATGGCAGGTGTGGAATGGTACCGTTGCCGTGGCGAATCTGCGTAATAGCTCTGCATGCCACTTTCGCCTTCTTGATACGACAATGGGTGACTCGTATTCGTAGGTCTAGGTGGCGTAACACCTGGACCATTGCCATGAAGCTCCAGGTTACTCATGGCAGTGTTGAGACCCAAGAGATACTCATTACCCCTGCTCCTCCTGGCCTGACTTTCAAGCCTCTGCTGTGGTGACGATGACTGGGTAGCAACATAGTAGTTGGGGGGATACTCTCTATCTGGAGGAATGTAGGCTGGATTTGGGGGATTGTAAGGCGAGGAGTGAGCGGTCACGTGTGACGCACTTGAAGATGCTTGTGATGAGTCGGTGCGGTAAGACGGCGGGGTTGGGAAGGGTACGTTCGAAGGCTGCGGCATTGAATATCAAGTCGGTGATGGGGGTGGCAACCTTCGACGGGGGTCTCTGATTTATAGGTTTTTGATTTGGAACGCGCCTGCAACACGACTCTGGGTGAGCCAAACACGCAAAGAAAGCATCCGCGAAACGATGCACCCCCCACTTAGCCAGTGGCTGCGGTCAATTTTCTTCAGTGCGGGCAATTCCGTGCGGGCATTTACGCCATCTTGCGTTGGCCTTCGCGTACGCCTGGTGCATCACCTACAAAATTTAGAAAGATCTCTTCATGTATGTAGTCTGCTTGTTCATATCTGTCGGCTTCATCAACTGGAAGGCCGCTTCACAAGGATGTCCAGCACAGCGGCCGCCAACGACCGGTCTTCCTCTACCTCGTCATCATCTCGAACGGTCCGATCTCCTCCCGACCTACCCAAAAGTGGCGATTCGTCATTGAAGAAGCGTCTATTCTCTGAACCAGGAAGCCTCCCTCTACCCAATGCAGGCTATCATTCGCTCGGAGTTGCCTGGGAGGATCTTACTGTAGAAGGTGCTGGTGGTGGAAGGAGATACGTCCAGTCATTTGACGTTTCTGCGCCAAGAGTAGGTCATTCGCACGTTTCTCAAAGGCAGCGCGCTGATATTCGTCTAGGTGTTTTACGTATGGGGTTTCGTCAAGAGGCTCTTCAACATTACGCTTGGTCCCACGCGTCCGATCATATCAAATTTCTCTGGTGTGGTGGAGGAGGGAGAGATGCTCTTGGTCTTGGGCAGACCGGGTTCTGGTTGCTCGACTTTGATGAGAGCTCTTGCCAATGTGACCGAGCCCTTTGTCAAAATTACAGGCGACGTTACATACTCATCCATTCCAGCTAAGGAAGCCAAGCAGTAAGTTGCTCGTCGACCATTCACGACGCGACTGATTTGCTCCTAGGTTCTTTGATGGCGAAATAGTCTTCAACGAGGAAAACGATGAGAACATTCCCTTACTATCCGTCGAGGAGACTATCAAAACAGCTATACAGCTGAAGGAGCCGAGGAAGAAGGATTCCAATGAGCATGGGGCTAAATATGTCGAAGGTCTGTTTGACAATCTCATCAACACTTTCGGCATGCCACACACAAGAAAGACCAAAGGTGAATATCTTCCTGGGCAACAACTTTCATATACTGATGAGCTTTGTAGTCGGTGACCAGTTCATTCGTGGCGTCTCGGGTGGAGAACGAAAGCGTGTGTCGCTCGCAGAGATGCTCACTACGAACGCTGCTGTCGTCTGTTGGGACAATCCCATTCGTGGACTGGATTCGGCTGTCGCTCTGCATTTCTATAGAGTGCTCAAGGAGCTATCGCTGTCCCTTGGTATGGCCAATGTACGTCCGGACTGAGAAAGACGCGGATCGTTACTCATTTGTTGCAGATAATATCTACCTATCAGACAGCTCAGGATGCGTGGGAATGTGTTGACCGAGTAGTGGTCATCTATGAGGGACGACAGATATTTTCTGTATGTGCACCTGTAAATCTTCGAGAAATTACTGACATCCATCAGGGACGCGCCAACAGGGCCCAAGCGTACTTTGAGAACATGGGATGGTACAAGAAGCCCCGACAGACGTGAGTTATCATGCGACGATTCCGCTCATGTATTGACATTGTGCATCAGAACGCCTGATTTCCTGACTGCCGTGACTTCAATCAACGAACGACGAGTACAAGAAGGCTTTGAAGGTTCCATCCCCCAAACCGCGGAGGAGTTTGAGCGCTACTTTTTGGAAAGCGAAGAGTACAAGGAGTTGCAGCGAGATCTCCAGAGTTACAAGGAACGACACGCTGGGGCTCCCAATGCGGATTTGTTCAGGCAGTCTGTGAAATCGAGCAAACACCACGGCGCTGGGAAAAAGTCGAGTTACCGAGTGAACTTTGCGGAGCAAGTCATGATCCTTTCGAAGCGACAGTACCACCTTACAAGAAACGACATGAGGAGCTTTGTGTATAGGATCGGCAGTAACGTGCTGCAAGCCGTATTGGTTGGGGCCATCTGTGAGTTACTTATATGCCTGTTTTTGGCGGGGCTGACCCAAGTTTACAGGTTACAAGCCCAAAAACAACTCTCAAGGTTCTTTTGCCATCGCCGGCGCTCTCTTCTTCAGTATCCTCTACTACGTTATCTTCGCCTTGGGTGAAGTCCCCGCCACAGTCAACTCTCGACCCCTTCTCAAGAAACACAGAGGTCTCGGCTTCTACCATCCCGCCGCTCATACTGTCGCCCAAATCTTGTGCGATGCTCCCGTCTACATCTTCCAGACCCTCCTCTTCTCCGTCATCTTCTACTTCCTCGTCGGCCTCAACTCTGGCGCCCAATACTTCTTTACATTCTGGTTCATCGTGTTTACACTGTATGAGACCATTTCGGCAATGTATCGGATGATAGGAGCGTGGACGCCGAATCTGAGTGTGGCTATCCGATATGGGTGTCTGGCTCTTTCCGTGGTCTTGACTTCGGCTGGTTTCGGTCTTCCTCCGACTGAGCAACGTAAGTCGTGCCAGGTCCCCAAACGTCTTGCGTTATGCTGACTCGCATAGTGCGATGGATCTCTTGGCTTCGACGTGCCGACCCTGCAGCCTGGGCGTTTGAAGCTCTCATGGCCAACGAATTCCGTACCCGCACACTGCGCTGTGAAGATAGCGATATGGTTCCTTCCGGTGCTGGGTACACGGATGCTGCCTATCAA